CCAACCTAGACAATTCTATGATTTTGTTCCCAAAAGCATTTCCTCTGAGCCATACACCGGGGCAGGAGGTGGGAGAGCCATGCCCTGTGGCAATGCTGCTTCCCTCGGTTGCGCGCACCTCTCCCTCCTATCCCCCCGCCCCTGCGCGGAGGCAGAACTCGCCTTTGCAGCGATGTGTGCTGATGTGGAGACTTGCATCTTAAGTCACGAGCAACGAGTGATGCCACCTCGTTTTCTGTTGGGCTAAGGATCGGACTGAGTGGCATCGGTTTGGTTGCAACGTATTTGCAGAAAATGCCAATTCAGAGAAATGACGTAGTTACATGCTTTTTCCATAACTATTGGGATTTTTCTGGGTTAATGTGCATTATGCAAAAATGGAGGTAGCAGGGTTGAATTTTTGCTTCATTTTACAACATGAGTTAAAGTCCAGGTCTGGTTAGACAATCCGTGTGATTAGAAAAATAGGAGGTCGTGCTTATTAAAGCATTAGCCTGCCAGCCCAAACCCATTTTACCTTTTGGTTGCCCCTCTGTCCCCCCCTCCTCTGCATGTCCAGCCAGGCTTGGATACTTTACCCCGCAGGTCGGAGAGCAGTAACATGCTCGTCGTACTTACCTTCCCACGTTGGCGTGTGGTCCCACACACCAGCGGTGAAATCCTGGGCGCTGAGGAAATCAATGCCAGCTCCTCCGAGCCCACTGATTTCTGCAGAGGCTGGGATTTCTATGCACATGAATAAGAACAGGTTGGCTACACCCTTTCTGCACATTCAAACCTGTGGGTAATGGACTTGGTTTAAATACAGGTAAATATTTTTGTCAACCAAAGGCTGCCAATGGCACTTGATTTATAACATCATGAATGTATATGTCAGTCACCTGCATCCTTTATCTCCCAATATCCCCTGCCCTCCCTCTCCATGATTTTCTAATTGACACCCATATAGCCCTCTATTTCTCTTTTAATCTTATTAATGGTTTTTACCCCTTTAACCCCTCCACCCTGGCTAAAAAAAGTGTACGGGTTTTTTAATCATCCTCTGTTTCTTGCTCTAATTCTCTTATCTTTCTTTGCATCTCCCTCCCTGCTACTTCCCTCTTAAAGAAGTCCATCAACCAGGTATGTGACTTCTGAATTCCTCTGCGTCAATCGGAAGGGTTATTGTGTGCTGGAAATTCAGTTGCACTTGGCAATTTCACAATTGGGTTGCGTTCTGAATTGGGACAAAATGGAAACTTTTCAAACAAACAGCAACACAAAAAGGAAGAACACCTTATTTGGCAGCTATTGAAAATGATTTATTTTTTTTTTAATTTAGTTAAAACAAAACATTTTGTTCCAACATTTTTTTTCCTCTTTCCTCAATGGAAAATTTCCAAATTTTGAAATGAAAATTCTATTTTAGATGCTTCTGAAGCACTGACTTTATGGATAATATGGGATATATATATAGCGCAATGCGAGGACAAATCTGGAATGAGAGATTGTCGCAAGGCAAAAAATGAAAAGGGTTTGTTCTAGAGATGTTGATAACTATGCAACCTTTTATGGTTGTGAAACTGTTTCTATTTTTTAACCAAAATCTTAGCTAAATCTCCATGAGTTTTGAAATATTGGAATTTAATTGAAAAGATGGTTTCTATTGGAAAAATGATACCAGTAACTCTAATATTATACTCAGGAATTCAAAGATGGTGGAAGAAAACAGATAAAAATCCAGTATTAATGATAAACTGTAACTTGCAGCTTCCTTACACCTTCCACCAGTAATAATTTCCTCTGCTCTGTGATGTGTGATAATGAAGATAAGAGCTAACTGTTGCATGAAAAATGTAATAATATTTGTGTAAACAAATATCTCGATGTACAAGCTGTAAGAGTGGCCACTGATGGGACTCCGAGCCATCCTTACTCCGCATACGGGACTGTGATAATGTTTATTATCTGGAAAAGCAGAAACTGAGTGTGCAGCATCCTTTAATCTGTCTGTGAGAATTATTCTGTGCCATTTGGAGTAGCTTTATTAAAGCGGTTGCATCTCAGCAGCCGCCCGGCCCAGCCATTTCGATCCGCTGTCCTCAGAGGGAGGCCAGCCTCTTAGGTTAGACAGGATCAGTACTTCTGCCAGGGTTGGAGGGAGTGCAGTGAAAGCTGTCTGATTGATTTTGGCATGACTTAGCACTTCAACATTCATCTGCGCGCTGCTTCTCATTCCCCTCCTGTTCTTGCTGCTTCTCGTTTCATGTCCTTCTCTTCTTTTAACCATATTTGTTCCTGTCTGTTTTCTGCTCCTAAGGTTTTCTGGCCTTGGTTTGCACAAGTTAAAGGTCATTGCTGCCACCCCAGCTGCTTTGCCTGTCTCTGTACCTCTTT